TTTGTATGATATTAGTAAAATATGTATGTTTGTATGATATTAGTAAAATATGATGAAGATGTTTATATTTAACTCTGTATACATTAACAGTACCAAAAATTGTAACTATGTAATGAGGGGAAAATGGAAAAAATATGGAGAAGGAGGATCAGGGAAAAAATACTGGATTGTGTAGTATTGAACAGATTTATATTGAAGAAGTCAATGTTAAATATTTGAACCCAGACAACATGTTATTTACTAAGCACTAAAGACTGTAATTCTTAAAAATCAATAAAACTTTTATAAAAAAATATAGGAGGGATGGGTAGCATTAATTAATTAATTAATTAATTAAATTAATTAATTAATTAAATGTTCTTTGCCTGCATATGCATCTTATTTTCTAAAAACATGTTTGGACCTTGTGTATATAAAAGGAAGATAATCCTAAGTACAGTAGTTATTTCCAGTAGTTACAGTAGATTTTTTTCATTATTAGCTTGCATGAAGCAATATTTTTTCCAAGACTAATTTAATTTGTGAACTTAACAAATATAAACAAGCTTTCAAATATAGAATTTGTAAAATAAGAAGTTCAGATATTGCCAGAGAGGTAAAGTACAAGAATTATTATTATGGCTTTTGATTTTATGTTACATTTGTGATTAATAGTGGAAGCATTAATTAGTTAAACTAGTATATTTTTATGGAGCTATATATATCTGTCAAGTAATCTATGTTACTCTTTCTAATTAGGGTGTAGTTCTTGTTTAACAACAGATTTGTTTAATGACCATTCACAGTTATTATGATGATGAAAAAGTAACTTTCATCTACAACCTTCACAGGTCTGGAAAGCAAAAGAAAGCTGAAAATCATAAGCACAGTTGTAGTTTCACTTAACAACCATTCCACTTAATGACCAACTTGCCAGTTACCATTGTGGTTGCTAAACAAGGACTAGCTGTAGAAGATATGGTTCCAACACAAAACTGATGATTGGAAAAACAAACCATTTAGTCATTGAATAATTCATTGCCCTTCCCATTCATTGTTCATCCACAAAACCAAATCTTGTCTCATACAGTACTAACAGTTATTGGGAGAATTATGAAGATAATTTTATTTTTGTTTGATAAAATTGGGTGATAATTTTATAAACAATAAATACTTATGCTGGGGTAACCACATTGAATTTCAAACAGAACAGCTTAAAGCTATTTGTGTTAAATGTCTTTATAGATTACTTTTGGGAAAAACTAACTAATAACTATCCGGAGAATCATGCCTCCTATATTTTCTTTCATATGTATAGCTTCATGAGGTTTTTGCTTCCCGTTTATGCAAGCAAACTTTTTAAAAGTTTGGTGAGTTATTTAAAAAAAATGCATGTTGACAAAAGGTACACATTTTTATAAATATGCAAACCATGATTATTTCCTTCCAAATTCCAAATATAAAATGCAGGGGGGTGGGGAGGAGATCAGATTTAAATTGCTTTGTGGGAACCAAATTTAGACTTATCTCAGATCTGTTTCAATGAGCCTGATAGAATTCAAGATTAACTAAAGTTTCAGTTCATATTTCTGTTACAAGTTCAAAATTAAATTATAACTATAGGCAAGTAAACTTAAAAATAAAGGAGTAAAAGATAAAAATATCTATAAATCTATATATCAAAACTGTAAGATATATGGTAATAAAATAAGAATTCTAGTAACTATTTCAATTTTTATGATACAAAGGTCATGATTTGCAGTGTTCTATAAACCACATAGCAAAATTTGATCACATTGTATACAGGTAGTCCTCGACTTACGACCACAATTGAGCCCACAATTTCTGTTGTTAAGTGAGGCATTTGTTAAGTGAGTTTTGCCCCATTTTACGACTTTTCTTGCCACAGTTCGTAGGTGAATCACTGCAGTTGATAAGTTAGTAACCTGGTTGTTAAGTGAATCTGGCTTCCTCATTGGCTTTGATTGTCAGAAAGTCGCAAAAAGTGATCACATGACCCACAGACGTAGCAAAGGTCATAAATATGAACCAGTGGCCAAGCATCTGAATTTGGATCACATAATCATGGGGATGGTGCAAAGGTCATACATACAAAAAATGGTCATAAGTCACATTTTTCAGTGCTGTTGTAACTTAAACAGTCACTAAATGAATCGTTCTAAGTTGAGGACTACCTGTAATTCATATCAAAAAAGCTATGTAAAAATCTTCTGTCCCAAAAATAGGACAAAGATAAGGGGCCAGAACCTTCCTTTGAAATGTTTCCAGATTTATTACTGGAGCTTCTCCATCTCAACGTGGTGTAGACTTAACACTGCAGGTCAATAAGAAAAATACAAAAAAAACCCCCTATTTTTCCATTCTTTTCTGTTCTTTCATAGAAAAAAAAATCATAGCGGTGAATCCTCCAAGGCGATTCAAAATAATTTAAAAAAAAAATTCAACTAGTATCTTCAGTATTCAAATTTGGGAGGGTATTAATCTTTAAAGAGGCAAACTGGATATTGTGAGAATTTTTTAAACCACATGCAAATAAAATGGATTTTTTTTTAAAAAAAAATTGTTCTAATGTGATGTACTGCGGCGTATAGGGAAAGCAAAACGTGTATGATCTGCGAAGGGAGAGAGGCAATTCTTTCTGTATAAACGGAGGCTGAAGCCTTCACCATTCTTCTCTCCTTCCCTTTTTTTTCCAACAGACGGAACCCTCTTCACTTCCATCTCATTGCAGATGCCATTGCCAAACAGATCTTGGCAACCCTTTTCCAGACATGGATGGTCCCTGCAGTGCGCATAAACTTCTATGATGCTGATGAGTTGAAGGTAAAATATAATCCAAAAATTGCTTCATGTTGAGATTTCCTTGTGTAATTACTTAACTCCTAGAAATGGGAAATAAATCCTTTTGGCTCAGATATATAACCTGAATTTGTCCAGCTATGACTGCCTGAAATTGCCTGGGTTAAGCAGTATCTGGTGTTCTATGGTTTGCCTGCTGTATGCAACCAACTTCAAGTCTATGCCTACACTTTTTAACATTTAGCAATTCAATTCCCAACTTAGATGTTTGGACAAAATTGTGCAGTTAGGGAATCTGTTCATTTAAAAACACATTGCATTTCTAAACCAATTCTGCCTGCTTAAAAAAATGCATTACAAAGTGTCACTGTACCAGTGCTTACCATAAATGCCTTCCATATACAATCAATCAGGGGTGTCAAACTTACTGCATAACATGATGTGTTGCGCCGTATCGTGACTTTTTTCCTGTTGCCGGAGCTGGGGTGGGTGCGGCTTTTGCGTGACACACCCAGCCGGCGGGCCAGCAGTTTGACATCCCTGCAATAAACACTTTCCTAGCTCATTAAAATTAGCTAACCCTAGCCCTAACCCTACACTTGTAAAACAAAAAAAAATGCATGATATATGATCAATAGGCCCACATACTCTGTGTGATAGATGAGAAGGAGGGCCAGACAGAGTGTAGAGTAGACCCAGGTTCAGATTCCCATTCAGACATGAAGATTGCTGGATAAATTTGGACTAATAATTGGCTTTCAACCAAATCTACATGGTTGCTGTAAGGATAAAATAAGGGCAGTTTCAGGAATGTCATCATATGCTCCGGGGTGTGTGTGTGTGATCTTTTGCAATGTATTATAAACTATTTTTTTTCTAATAAGGTGCCTAACAAGGCTATGGAAGATATAAGCATGTATTCTAGGTTACTTTTCATTGCTGATTTGTTTTTACATATTACCATACTTGTCTCGCTTTTCCATTAAAGGTATGCTTTAAAAATCATTATTTGAAAGCAGCAAGTCCTTTTTATTTCTGGCAATCACAGATGTGTTTAGAATTATCACTTTAAATTAGATTGTAGCTATTTACAGGTGGATTGGAAGTACAGAAATAATGTCATCCTATGAAATTTTTGAAAATACTTTGGCATCTGAAGGCTGTGATAGTAATTTTCATGGCATATCAAATCAATGTCTTGATTAAGATCCTGTAACAAGCTAAAAACATATTTAGCAAATTGCTGTACTAATTTCCAAGCCACTCCACACATTAGAAGGAAGGGAAAACAGAATGTAATTTGAGAAAGTGGCAAAGTGAAGGATTATCTGTCAGAAAATACTGCCACCTTTTTAAAAAGGTACCTAAATTTCAGTTTAGTTTGTATATTAAGCAATAGGCAAATATTGACTTGATTCATCTTCCTACTGAAAACTACAGTTTGAAAAAAACTAGAACGTAATATGGAATTAATAGATCAAAATTATTTAAGATGGAATGGAATCCAAGCTAGCTATTGTGCTTAGAGTATTATTGTTTCTCTAAGAATCATACCTCCCAGAATTATTTTGTATCCAGGAAGTAAGATCAGCTCCTGCTCAAGTTCACATATATAATTAGAGAAGATTTTTGCAGACAGTTTTCTTGGCTTCAACATATATAACACATTTTGCTTTCTTCCATATGTATTAGATTATGGTATCCATTATTTCCAAATGACATAATTTGCCATGCTAATTCAGGTAGAGAAAAGCTGTAATCCAAAGCATTTGAAGAATAGCCTATTGGAAGGGCATTGCCCTATTAATATCTTACCCAGAAAATGAATACAAAATCATGTTTATAAGAATTTGGAGGCTTAGACTAGATTCTTAGGTAAGCCATTTGATGCTTCATGCATGGAAAATAAAATAATAAAGAGGGCAAAATGTAGGATGTATATTTGCACACAATCGTCAAGAATGAACACATAAGAGTTCTTGCTTGCTTTTGGTTTTAGCACTAGTTGCAGTTACTGTGGACATTTTTATTCCCAAATGACTTCTGGACAATGGTCTGAATACAAATCATTTGAACCTTTGTTGAGAGAAGAAGCCCATGGAAAGTCACCTTCATCAGATAACCTGATAAATCTGTCTTGGCAATAGTCATAGACTCCTCAGAATTTTAGATTCATAATTTACAAATATCAATTATTCTTGGGCTACTTGGATTTCCAAATTGATTATGGATCAATTGCTAAGAAATCATACCAATAACTTTTAATATAATTCATTTAAAACACTTTATATGCCTTTGATCCATAGCAAATGTCTAATATTATGGAACACATTTTACCTACTATAAAGATTTGAATCTTGCAAACTTTCTGTGTGGCCATCACTATTAGCAATATGATAATAATAAGCCTATCAGTGACTCTGTAAAAGTAAAAATCTTGTCTAATCAATGTGAACACACCTGATTTTAAAAAAAAAAGTTGAGTAGTACATCAGTGATTTTTTTTTAACCCCTAAGGTTTACCAAAGTTATTTTAATGGTTGTAGATTGTTGTGAACTGTTGAAGATCCCTATCTGATTCAGTAGTGCAATAAATAAATAAAATATTATATTCCCCTCTTTTTAAACAGATTGTTATAGTTTCTTATCTGAAATTCAGTCATATAATTATCTTAATACAAACATTTGGATAGGCTTGGTGAACAATGAAAAGTTATTTTCCTTTTCAAAGACTTATAAAATTAAGTGGAGTATATTTGGAATTACAGATTTTTTCTTAACATTTTTATTTATTGTGTTTTTCTTTCCTTTTTTCTTTGTGTGTGATGAATTGTTCACTTCACTTCAAATACATTATTTTTGAAAAAAATCTTAATGCCAGAGTTATTTTTTTCTCTTTAATACTCATAAATATTCCAAATCTTTGGTTTTAATCTTTTCTAGTCATATCTAAAATATTGTCTTTGATTTGTTTCTTGATCATTTAAGAAATAATTCAGTTTTGATCTTTGAAGAACTTTGTTGCTTGTTCTATTTATTAATTTATTATTGTCTCTTGTTTTGTTTAATACTTTATTTGCTCAGATTCATTTTGTATTCAAGTTGTTGTGTGCATAATGTTCCATTAGCCACATTCTTCCTACTTAAACTTGGTTGTCTTTTGTTTTACTTTTACTTCTTTGGCATCTGTACTGTAGGTACACATACAAATGTTAAGTTCTTGTGATACTTTCATATAGAAGTAATTTTGTACCCGTTTATATGTAGTTTCTATTTGAGTTTAGTGTGTTCCCTTTTCCTGGTCTCATCTTCCATCTGCAGAGTGTTTTTATTTGTGGCTGAAAGGTCAGTCTCCTGTTCATTAACATTTGGGCAGGAGATGTCTTACCCTCAGCTAGAGACTTCATCTATTCAGGTACCTTATGGCCAGTTTCTATGATTAGTGCCTTAATGGGACTTTTCACATTGTGCCACAAAGCTTTTTCCATTTAAGCATAATTGGATTGTGTTAGAAACAGTGAGTTTTCTGCAGCTAATTAGTTACCACTTTTGGCAGTAGTACTCTTCTTATTCCAGAATGCAGAGAGTCCATTTGTTGTGTCAGGATCAAAATAACAGTCTAGAGAATCTTTCTATGATTTTTTTTTCATTTTTTTTTTTGAAGACCCATTCCAAAATAATTACAATGGTTCCCTGAGTAGTTCCCTCGGTAATGCCATCATTTATTCTCATTTTACAACTAGTTAATCATCTTCATAATAGCTTCCCACCTCTTCTCTAGAGTTTGGAGTTTCCTATTATTCCATTCTTATGATCTTGTCTGCATCTGCAGCCCAATATAAATATAATTATCACCCAATGTGCATTCTACTTGGGTTTAATTTCAAATTTCTCCCCCTCTCTTTTTTAATATTATTTTCAGGATCTCTTTCAGAGTAGTATCATTAGTGATTTTCATGGACATTAAAAAACTACATTAAGTAAAATCCAAGAACTGCCAATAATCAATTTTGGAGGACAAAGGATATTTCTACCTGAAGACTTTGCACCCCGTGGGAAAGCAGCTATGTACCTTAACAACCTCAAAATGTTAGCTCTTTTCTAGAGCTAAGCTAATTAATTTGTGGCTCGTACAGGATGTATGTATGTATGTATGTATGTATGTATGTATGTATGTATGTATGTAAAGAAAGAAAGAAAGAAAGAAAGAAAGAAAGAAAGAAAGAAAGAAAGAAAGAAAGAAAGAAAGAGAAAGAAAGAAAGAAAAATAAATAAATAAATAAATAAATAAATAAATAATGGGTTTTTGTTTGCTTTGATTTTTCTTTGAAATGTTATTTCCTCAGTGGAGATTGTGAGTATTAAATACTTTTCAGAAACCCCTACCTTATTATTTCTGTTACTTGGATTTGGGGCAAAAACCGGTGACCTGATGTCTTTGCAACAAGTCTCCCTTACTCATAATTCCTTTCCCATGAAGAAATGGGGATTTAAAAAAAAATCTTTTGCATGGAACTGTAATGAAGTAGACCTTGTAGGACTTACAGTAGCTTGGGATGGGCAGGATTAAATTATGAGAGTTTTGCTTGTTCTTGGCATTTTGATTACCAGAAATTAAGAAGTGTGGATCAGCTGCACATTCCTTCAAGGGACTGGAGTGTGATAAAAATATCCTAAGTTATTTTGTTTTTGTTTTGTTTTGCTTTGCTTTCCTGTCTAATGATGTTTGCCAATAGCTTTTCTGGACACTGCATCTGGAATACCTTGAATATTAATGAAGCTGCATAGGAATCGTAGAGAGATACATTTCTTCTATAAACTGTATTCACGTCTTTGTTTGATAGATTACTTGCCTGTTTCTTAGCCTGAAATAATTTGTTTCATGACCTCCCTATTCAGATTAGTCTTTAGCAATTTACTTATTAGCAGTTCCATTGGATACAGTATACTCCCAAATTGCAAGATGGGGGGGGGGTCATACAAATTATTTGTTTGTTTATTTATTTATTCAAACATGCCTAATA